GTGTGTGTGTGTGTGTGTGTGTGTGTGTGTGTGTGTGTGTGTGTGTGTGTGTGTGTGTGTGTGGATGTCTGTATCTGTGCCTGTGTCTATGTCCGTGTCCGTGTGTGTCTGTGTGTCTGTATGTCTGCTATTTTAAATCTGAAACATCAGCAATCAAGTGTGCTTTCATATAAGCAACTCACTTCCCCAAGTGTACAAGCCCGATTGACTGAATTCGGATAAGAATATGAGGGTCAAGGGGGGTAGTTGGTGCGTAGGTGTCTCTCTGTACATACCCCTGCGTTCGGAAATACGTCAGTGTCAGCAAACTATGCTCACTGCATGCGATTGACCACATACTACCGATACCACGAGCCTGTCGGATGTTACAAGTTGGCTGTCATCAAGCTCTATTCGGATTGTGTATATGTTGGACTTTATGTATATGTAGTTTATGTATATATATATATACATATGTATGTTGGACTTCATGTATATGTAGTTTATGTTTATATATATATATATATATATACTTACGTTGGTACTTTATGTATGTGTAGTTTATGTATATATATATACATATATGTACATAAATTCAACACTAAACAATGCGCGGATCCTACATGTCAAATACGGCAGTATAGCAATGTGTGTATGCTGTGCGAACGGTAATATATGTTTACCATCATAGTCTAAGATAATGAGCATCTGGGAATGTGATTGCCTTTATAGAGACCCATCTTTGCTTCATGATTGCCCCCGCCCGGCATTTGGGGGAGGCCATGGGCGATTTGGGCTTTGTATGTGTGCGAATAGTTAAGCCACCCGTGCGTGCAACATTGTCGCCCGGTTTTAGGGGTTTAGAGTTTAGGGTTTTTAAGGTTGTCATTCACGTACATACATGTATGCCTTTCACACACATACAGGCATACATAATTTTCCCACGCATACATGCATGCATGCTTTTCGTGTTATCCACACCCATACACCCATACATACATGCATGTTTTTCGTGTTATTCACACTCATACACCCATACATACATGCATGTTTTTTCGTGTTTTTCACACCCATACACCCATACATACATGCATGTTTTTCGTGTTAATCACACCCATACACCCATACATACATGCATGCAATGCTGCCTGCAGGAGAAACCTTTCCACCACAAAAGCCGGAGCAAGTCCCTGTACAACCTCCCAGGTGTGATCACGTACCTACAGCCCAAGTCCAAGGCCGTGGCCAAGTATATCGCCCGTTCCAATGAGTCTGAACTCGGAGTGCTCGTCAAACAACGACACAGGTTCATCGAAGAGGAGGAGAATGTGGTGATGTCAGGTATGTACTATGTATGATCTCAGGTATGTACTATGTATGATCTCAGGTATGTACTATGTTTGATGTCAGGTATGTACTATGTATGATCTCAGGTATGTACTATGTATGATGTCAGGTATATACTATGTATGATGTCAGGTATGTACTATGTATGATGTCAGGTATGTACTATGTATGATCTCAGGTATGTACTATGTATGATCTCAGGTATGTACTATGTATGATCTCAGGTATGTACTGTGTATGATA